TAAAGAGACCAGAATGAATAATAAGAAGTATCATATAGAAGGAATAGCACGAACTATGATGATAATGATAATGATAATAATAATAATAATAAACAATAACGCGGTTCGTTATATATATCTACCCAGACACTATCTCTTCATATATATATATATATATATATATATATATATATATAAAACAACATTCACGAACCAATCATAAAAAGGAGGATATTAGTCAAAAACATAAGATAGAGCCATACAGAAGGAGGATAAAAAAGAGGAGAAAGGAAAAGAAGACGAAATCAAAAAAAAAAAAAAACGTTCAAAGAACATAACTGCAGAATGTTCATAGTACAATTTATTGTCTGTTTGTCACTTATAAACGCAAACGCATAGAAGCAAACCAAACCAATATATATATATATAGACATATTAATAACAATGCGTAACTCATCTCTTCAACTACATGAACACTTTATATTTTACACTATTACTATTATTCTTGTTACTATTACTATTACTATCTAGATCCCTTTGATGGGTTTGGGCTCAGGAATTTCACAAGTGATTTTCTCTGAGCCGTCCCTTTACCCGTTTCTGTAGAACCTCCCCATTTATTATTATTATTCTCTGCATTGTCATTGTTACTACTATGGTTGTTTATGCTGGAATTGTCAGCCACCAAAATAGAACTCGGCTTCTCTTGTCTGTTCACATCATTCACTTTACTCTCTTTGCTGTTCTTTGTCTCCTTCGCATCTTCTTCCTCTACTGGAAAGTGAAAAGTCTCTAATGCCTTCACCAACTTCACCTCATCCGGTACATTTTCCTGCTGACTAGTTTTCGGATCTATTTGCGGGGTTTCTTTAATAGTAGTGGCCGCTGTGGACTTTGTCCCTCCACCCCCAAATACAGTGCCATTCTTATTCATATTATTATTATTATTATTATTATTATTATTATTATTATTATTATTATTATTTTTGTAATTATAATTTTTGTAATTATTATTTTTATTTTTCTCACCACTACTACTTTTTTTTTTTATTGTACTCCATCCTTATCAACCATAGCAAACCTACTTTCACAAGTATCCTGCCTTTTTTTTTTTTTTTACACCTTTTCACCATTTATATGTTCCTGTCTACACCTTTGTGTTTTTCTTA